ATGGTGAGGCGATTCCAGATCCCCAGAACCATCCTGATCCGAGCTAGTACACCAAATGAAAGGGCGTGCTCAGTATCACGGACGGGCTGGGTGCCAGTGTACGTAGACCATTTTGAGGCCGGTCTACGTTTTCCTCTGCCCGGGCTAATTTTTGATGTCCTGGTAGAGTACGAGCTGGCCCTTTCGCAACTCACTCCCAACAGCATAAAGTTCATCATAGTCTTTATGCTGTTGTGCGAAAGGCTGGGGATGCCTGCAAAGGCGGTGGTCTTCAGGTCGCTCTTCCTGTGCCGTTTGTGCCCGTCTACGAGTGGGACGAGGTGGTACTACATCTCAGGAAGAGAGAAAATGATTATCTTCACCAACATTAGGAACAAGGTGGCGAGATGGAAGAGGCAGTTCGTCTTCGTGCGTGATACACGAACTGAAAGGATGAATAATGAGCTCGCCGCCCGTCTGTTTGAGTGGCGTACGCCGAACACGTACATGAACTACCCTCAGCTGACAGTTGGTGACGTCGACCTGAAGAACCGGCTACTCGATCACGTGAAGGCAAGGGGTTTGGTGGATCTGGAGGCCTTGGTTACCCCGGACTAGATCGCACTTCTTGGGTTTGTCGATGTGGCAAACCTGCACGGTGAAGGTATATTCCTATAACATAGCAGGATTTCCAGCCGACCTGAATCTTATGTTTTTATTTGTGCAGGAGAAATGAGCAGCATCCTAGAGAGGCAAAGACAGCGAGCTCAAGGCTCACGGAGCCGGGGAGCTAGGTCCGGCTCCCACCGTCAGTCCTGCTTTGACGAGCGGCCACCTGCTGCACCAGGGCGCAGCTCGCAGCACAGAGGTTCCATCTCGGCACAGAGGCCACGTGTTGAGCAAAGAATTGAGCCTGCGCCTTCCAGCTCCAGAAGGCGTTCGAGGGAAGACGCGGATGCCGATGTAGAGGATGACGTGCCTCTCATCCCGCGTAGGACGAGCACCGGTTCGCAGCCCGCCCCGGTCGCTGCTGCAAGACCCTCCAACGTGTCCCAAGCGCCAGCTCGCGAGGTTGCTGAGGCTGCACCGACCTCGACGTCTGTGGGGGGCCCAAGGATTGCATACCCGGACGGCTTCAGTTACGCCCGGACTGAGTGTCAGACTGCTATGCTGCAGGGTATGCAGAACTTCGTGCCCCCTGCAGACCGGCTGCGTGCAAAGGGGCACGTTCAGCAGCAAGGAGGACATGCTGTGCTAATAAAGTTGATGGATGTAAGTATATTTGGTGAGCTCGGTATTATGTATTACCTTGTTTTTACTATAAACTGACGAGTGAACCTGTATTGCAGGCGTTCAGCTACACTGTCGCACTCTTTGAGTGCGAGCAGGGAGCCAGGCGCAGAACAGCGAGCTGCAACACAACTGCAAACAGTTGGCATCTGAGAAGGCCAGCTTGGCTGACGAGGTTAACCGCTTGCAGAGCTCGGAGATGGCCAACCGAGCGGCGTCAGCTGAAAGCCGAGCTGACGAGCTGGCTCGCAAAGTCACTGAGCTTAGGGAGGAGCTGGACCGAGCTCGGGATGAGAAGGAGAGCGGCATTCAAGTTGCGAAGGATGAGGCCGGCCGTGCAGAGGACCGAGCCAGAAAGGCAGAAGCTGAGAGAGAGAGGACTCTGCACGAGCTTAGCGGCCTGAGGGAGAGGGTCTCAGTGGCGGATCAACATGTCGCCCAGGCTGAGGCGTCCTTGGAGAGGACTAAAAGACTTCACCAGCGCGACGTCTGCTTTGCCCGTGCATAGGGGGCTGAGTGGCTGGTGGGGGCAGAGATGTTCCAGGACGCCGTAGCTATGGCTGCAGCCAACACCACCACTGACATCTTCAATGAAGTTCGTGGGAAGGTGTTGGGAGTCCGGGCAGACTTCCCCATTGGCGAGCTGGCCTTCTTCGAAGGCGAGGAGATCGATGCTGACGGGAAGAGCCTCACCCAGCCAGCTGACACCAGGGTAAAACTGAAGTGGGAGCTCAACGAGGAGGGGCTGCCCGTCTGGCCCCCCTCAGTCGTTGAGGAAGGAGAGGACATGGAGGGGTTGCCGAGCTTTGATGCTTGGGTGGCAGACCCCCATGATGTGCCTGCTGAGCCTTCCAGCACTCCTCCCTGTGCTTCGCCTCAGCCCGTCTCAGCCGCTGCTCCAGCTCCAGCTGCTCTCTCTCCAGTTCCGTCTCCTATTCACTCTTCCCCAGATCGATCATCTCCAGCTCGATCTGCTGCTGCGCCAAATGACGCATCCACCCCCGTCGACCTGACGGATGAGTAGTTTAGGACCTTTTGTTTTGTTTTTTGTAGTTCTTCTTGTCTTTTATGTTAATCGAACATTTGTACAAGAATACTCATGAAATAAAACTCCAATATTTGTTTTTGAAATTGCTGTGTATTGTTCTTGTATTTTTGTGTAAATCAATGAAGTTATTTGCAATATGTACTCCATATGTAGGATTCATTGATCAGGTGCAACTTTGGAACTTTCTGTATTGAATTTTCTGTAAATCATCATCTACAAATGATCCATAACAACCTGAACACTATTGACATACATGCTAACTATAAAACTTTCTAAGGTTATGTATGTTCCAAATGAATGGTATTGGATGACCTTGTACATCTGCTAATTAGTAACACCCAGGTCGTTTAACACGAATAACTATATAAGGACCTTCCCAATTAGGAGCGAGCTTGCCCATGTGCGAATGAGCATTGGTTAGTCCTGCTTTGCGTAGGACCAGATCACCGACCTGAAACTGGCAAGCTCGAACTCTCTTATTATAAAATTTTGCCACCTGACTCTGGTGCACCATGTTTCTCATTCGAGACATCTCCCTGACCTCTTCCACGAGGTCCAAGTTCTCCCTTAATAGTTGCTCATTACTACCATCGTCGTGCCGACCTGCTCTATCCGAGGGCAACACAACTTCGACTGGGATAACGGCCTCAACTCCATATGCCAGGCTGAATGGGGTTTCGCCTGTGGCCGAGCTGGGTGTCGTGCGACAAGACCAAAGTACTTTATTGAGCTCGTCAACCCAATTAGAACGCGCAGCTATAACGCGCGCCTTGAGGCCTCGCAAGACGATCTTATTGGCAGACTCGGCCTGTCCGTTTGACTGGGGGGTATAAACAGACGTCAAGGAAAGTTCAATGCCATAGTCGTTGCAGAACGATCTTAGTGCTGCTGCTTGGAACTGTGGCCCATTATCGGCGATGATCCGCTTAGGTATGCCGAACCTGTACACAGATGACCGAGCTGAGCTAGGGACTATGTTTGCATATATTTTATTTATGACCTAAGCCACCAAAGAATACCTGCACAATATTGAATTGAACAAGAATTCTTCTATTTTCCTTTCTGTTGTCGTGGATAATGGTTTAGCTTCTATCCATTTAGTGAAGTAATCCACTGCAACGACCAGGAAAGTGCAGCCTCCTTTGCCTTTGATGAAAGGACCGAGCAGGTCGACACCCCACTGAGCAAAGGGCCAGGGAGAAGTAAGAGATGATAGCATTTCCCCTGTTTTAAGGAAGATACTTATGCTCAGATTATAGACAGACAGAAAGTTTGAATGATCGTAAGAACAAGCTCAGATACCTGGCATGTGTATATCATCAGCATTAAACTGGCAGGTCGGACATTTTTTAACATAGTTCAACACGTCCTCGACCATAGTGGGCCAGTAATAACCATGCCTCAAGAGCTTTCGAGCTAAAGTTTTGCCACCGATGTGCATGCCACATACTCCTTCGTGAACTTCTCTCACTGCGTATTCAGCTTCATAAGGAGTAAGGCAGCGTAATAGGGGCATTGAGGCTGCTCGTTTGTAGAGCTGGTTATCTAACAACGTGAAATGTGCCGCCCTGCGCTTAGTCAATTTTGCAGCGGACTGGTCTTCAGGTAGTTCGCCACTTCGCAAATAATTTATGAGCGGGGTGGTCCAACTCGGTGTAGAGGGATCAGTACTTAGCAGTTGACACTTGACTGTGAAATCAGTGTAACTCGGTGCGTCGAGTACCTCAACAATTGTTCATCTCCGAGGGTTAATGTCCTGCGAGAAGGCCAACTTTGACAGCTCGTCAGCTCGGTGGTTATCTGCTCTTGGTATTTTATCAATTTGGAAGAAAACAAATATTGACTTTAATCTGTTGACCACAGAGGCATAACGACCAAGCTGGGGGTCCCTGATTTCACAACTGCCATTCACCTGGCCCACCACGAGCTGAGAGTCGCTGAAAACCTAGATGCTTCGCACCTTCAGCTCGGTCACTAGCTTCAGCCCGTAAATGAGGGCTTCATATTCTGCAGCATTATTAGTCGTTTGAAACGTGAACCTCAGTGCGTGCTCAGACTTAAAACCATCTGGGCCCACTAGCACAGCCCCAGCACCCGACCCTTCAACGTTGGCTGCTCCATCAACATACAAAACCCATACTGGGTGTTCAGGTGCTTTTTCTTCCCTAGTCGCTGAGATGCATTCCACCAGAAAGTCCGCCACGGCCTGGCCTTTTATGGTTGTGTGTGGCTGAAATTTGAGGTCATATTCACTCAACTCAACGCTCCATCCGATAAGCCGACCAGAGAGTTCAGGTTTTTGCAGTATTTTTCTCAATGGCAAGTCAGTATAGACAACAATCTGATGTGATTGGAAGTAAGCCCTCAACTTACGAGCTGTGTATACCAAGGCAAAGGCGGCCTTTTCTGCTAGCGGGTAGTTCTGCTCGGCACCTTGTAACACCTTGCTCACGTAGCAAATAGGCTTCTGAATTGTATTCTCTCCCCTCAGTAGCACTGAACTCACCGCTTCCTCTATGACCCCCAGATAAAGATATAAGCATTCCCCATCGACAGGTTTAGACAGTAAGGGTGTTGATGCCAGATACTGTTTGAGCTCATCAAACGCCCGCTGACATTCATTAGTCCATTGGAAGTTTTTAGGCTCTCGCAGAGCTTTCAAAAACGACAGGCATCTTTCCGCCGACCTGGATATGAATCTGTGCAATGCGGCTACACGACCTGTCAGGCGCTGCACATCCTTTACAGTCTTGGGAGGTTCCATCTGCTGAACGGCCAGAACCTTCTCTGGGTTCACTTCAATTCCTTTCTTGGATACCACGTACCCTAGGAATTTTCTTGATTCTACAGCAAACGTGCACTTCATGGGATTCAGCTTCATTCGGGCTCGGCGCAGATTTTGAAAGGTCTCACTCAGGTCATCTATATGGTCCTCAGCTCGCTCGCTGGTTACTATCATGTCATCTACATACACTTCTATGTTTCTACCGATCTGGAGCTTAAAGATGATTTGCACCAACTTCTGATATGTAGCGCCAGCATTTTTCAGGCCAAATGGCATCATCACATAACAATAGATAGCGTCACCAACGTAGAAAGCTGTTTTCTCCTGATCGTCTAACAGCAACTGAACTTGGTGATAGCCCGAGCTGGCGTCAAGAAAACTCATCCGTTCATGCCCAGCTGCCCGCTCCACTAACTTCTCGACGTTTGGCAAGGGATGAGGGTCTTTTGGACACGCATCATTGAGGTTGGTGAAGTCAATACACATCCTCCATTTGCCATTTGGCTTTTTGACGAGCACAGGGTTGGACACCCATTCAGAGTACTCCACTCTTCTAATGAATCCAGCCTGTAACAGCTTTTGTATCTCCTCGTCTATGGCGGCTTGTTTCTCTGGGCCAAAAAGGCGACGTTTTTGCACCACCGGCCTTCTGGTGGGATCTGTGCTGAGTTTGTGGACTGTCAACTCCGCCGGGATGCCGGGCATTTCATCAGTAGTCCACGCGAACACATCTTGATTGACCCTCAAAAACCCTAGAAGCTCTGCTCGTTCTTCTTCTGTGAGTTTGGTGCCTATCTTTACTGTTCTTTCCGGCACATCAGGGTTTAAAGGAACGGTTTCCACTGGCTCTACCGGCTCTGCTTTCTGCTCGACACCCTCAGGTCTATGTTCAATGTCTGATATGCTCATTGTCTGCTGGCCGGGCTGAGTCGGCCTACTACTTTCAGATCCTCCTAGGGCTACAGCGAGCTCAACCTTCTTAAACGTATCCTGATAACATGCCCTAGCCATCTTCTGATTGCCCTTCAGCACTCCCACCCCCTGAGGTGTTGGGAATTTCATGCAGAGATAGGGTTGTGAGATAACAGCCTTCAGTTCGCACAGAGTAGCCCTTCCTAGTATGGCGTTGAAGGCTAATTCCATTTTAACGACCAGGAAGCTGACTGAAGCCATCCTAAAGCGTGGTTCCGAGCCCACGTAAATGGGAAGTGTAATTACTCCCTCCACTGGGACAGGTTGATTGTCGAATCCATAAATAGGCCCTTCATATTTTTGTAACGAGCTGGGGTTCAGCTGCATCTTTTGGAAGCAGCTCCAATACAGGATATCAGGCGAGCTCCCAGTGTCAATGAAGACCTTATTGACGTTATGGTTGCCTATATGGACTGTTGCTACAAAAGGATCCGCATAAGGCATCACGACGTCAGGCTCTCCAGCTCGCTGGTAATCTGCCGGGCTAAACGTTATGGCCGCATTCTCCCACTCTGCCCCCTCAAATGGACGCTTAAGAGGCCGGTTCTTATTTACTGCCATCACCTGGCGAGCGTACGCCTTGCGGGCGTGGGCGCTTTGACCTCCTGCATGTATACCACCAGAGATCATATTGATTGTGCCAGATGGTGGGGGTATTCCACCGTACCCGACTCCTCTGTGGTCTTTTTGGTTCTGCGTAGGTGCTTTCTGTCCTGGCCCACGCCTATTGAACGGGCGTCCTCTGTACGCCCTGTTCGGCTCAAACGAGTACAGACCTGTCTGGTAGGAATTCGGATTACTGCCGAGCTGATACCCAGTTGCTTGAGGTCGGCCGTACTCTTGTACAAAATGGGTCTGAGTGGGTTGCCGAACAAAAGGCTTCTGCACATACCCCTCCAACTTTCCATTGCGAGCCAAGAATTCGAGCTCGTCCTTCAGACTCTGACAGTCTTCTGTGTTATGGCCGTAGACACGGTGATAGTCGCAGTATTTGCTTCTGTCAGCTCGTGAAGAATCATGCGTTTGTGGAGGGGGCCTATTGACCCAGTGCTGTATCTGCGACAATATCTGGGATCGTGACGAGCTCAGGGGAATGTAGCTGTCATATTTTGGGTATGAAGGTGGTTTCCCTCTCTGCTCACCAACCTTCTGTTTCTTCTTGTCATCTCTGTTTTCAGGCTGCTTGGGCTCTTTTCCTTGCCTGTCATCAGCCCTTCGCTTAGAAGATTGAAAATCTTCGGACAGTATGAAGCTTGCCGACCTGTCATTTACTTCATTCCATGACTTGGGTGGATTCTCCAACAGGTCATCCAAAAACCGGCCAGGCTTCAGGCCATGCAACAAGGCAGATAAACAAATGGTATCAGGGACGTTATCAATGTCTAAAGTAGCTTTGTTGAATCGTTGCATGTAGTCCCTCAAAGACTCTCCTTCTTTTTGATGAACCTGCATTAGTTCAGTCGCTGTACGTTTAATCTCCCTTTGGCTCGCAAACTTGTTGGAGAATAGCTTGGCGAGCTGGGAGTACGAGTCTATGGAATGTCTGGGAAGTTTGTGATACCATCTCCTGGCTGTTGTCTTAAGTGTCGCTGGGAACACTTTGCACATCATGGCGTCATTGGCGTTTTGGATTCTCATGATGGCTTGATAAGTGTGCAGATGTTCATCCGGGTCGCCCGAGCCATCATACGTCTCTAAATGGGGAATTCTGAATCCCTCTTGATACGGTTCTGCTGTGATTGATAGGTTCAATGGGGCGCTATCTAAATCAAGAGTTTGCTGATACGACCTGGGACTTTTCAGCTCGTCTATAGACTTTTGTACATCTCGTAGCTGCCTTTCAAGGTCTGCATTCTTCTTCAACAGTTCTTCGCTGTGCTTGGAGGAGCTGGGCTCGATATTTAGCTTTCCACTTCCCCTTGGCCTTGTTGGCACCGCTATGTTGCTTAGAGCGGGGGAGTTTCGAGTTGCAACAACCGCAGCTGATTGTGCATCCCTGTTCAACAAGGGAATCAAGGGGTCATCAGGAATCAGACGGGCAAGGATTTTTCCCATTGCCATTTCGAGAACTCTGGTTCTCTCTTCGAGCTCGGTAGTCCGAGCAGGTTCTGTTGACCTTTCAGGTCGTTCATGCTGTGAATTGTATGGTCTAGAAGGTCTTGATCTTGTTCCTGTTGGAACTTGGAACTGTTCAGGCTGGGTTGCATACCCAGTTGGTGTTCTTTCATCATCATCTGTTTCGCTTAGGTGATCCTATTCTGCTCCCCCAACAAAAAGGTTCCTAGGCATTGGTCTAAAATCATTTAAGCCGGGCTCAGATGCTTGGGCGTTCTCCTGTTCGTCCATGTCATTCCTTGGAGGGCGACCTCCTGTAAAAGTACGGACCATTTTGTTTTTCAGCAGGTTAAGTCACACAACTTCTTGTTCGATTTCCCACAGACGGCGCCAATGTTTCGGCAGCTTCGCTGTCCAACACTGTTGAAGTTCTCAGCTGCTTCTACACCTGAAAATCCCAAGGTTATTTCCTTGGGAAAAACACTCCGACGCTCAAGTCAGCAATACTCAGTGTTTTTGAGAGAGATGCTCTCAAGGAGTAATTGCAGATATAGAAGCGTAGAGATTAATTACCTTCATTGTTGGTAGTTGGGGGGTATTTATACCCCCAAAGACTGACAGGCTTCTATACATGTAAGTAACTCATTGGCCCACGTGGCGCTGCTCACGTGGGTATGTCTACTCCCCTTGGGTCTGTGTGTGCATAGTTGGGCCTGTTATATGTGGCCCAAAGTGGGCGTTGGGTCTAATCCCAACAATCGGTACCATCACTGACTCTCCGCAGTTGCTCCCATGGCGACTTTACTCATATATTCAAGATACTGCATTTAAATAGCTTCTCAAAGAATTCTTACTCAAATTCATCAGTAAATGAAAATTCGTCGATTGTTGTATTTAACTGATGTTTCCAAGACTTGCCTCAATTCAATTAGCCAAGTGAGTTTTTTTTCAACTTTTAATCATTTTTTGGGCTAATACAAATTCTCTATTCCTCGCATAACATCCCCTCTCCCAAATTCAGTTGCCTCCATCGCTGCTACAGACGTAGGAGGTCCTGTCCTAGATTGCCAAGCACTGCCTCACTGATGGCGATGCAGTAGCTATTGGAGAGGCTAAATAATGGGCTTCGAAACGGTAAAGGAAAGGACAAGGTGTAACTTTCCGTATCTGGTTCTCTGTGGATGGTAATCACTAGCAGATTGTTTTTTGATCTTTTGACCATATCTCCAAGCTACTAGAGAAAGGAAAACGGAGTAGAGCTCCTGTATGCAACGATTCTTTAAAGTGAAAATCGAATAGGAGAAGTGGAGTGGGTTTGATTTCAGGTATATTTTCTATCCTCAAATCCGTTGTTGATTAAGAGAATCATATGATTTCATTCAATTTCTTCCAATCCATTAAAATATTTTCTACAAAATTGAGTTTTCTAGCGTTTTGTAGGGCACCAGAACGTGACTCCTCATAGGTTGTCCCACCAACAATGAACATAACTACATCCTGTGGCCTGGATAAAGATAGAAGATGCATTGTTGAAGAACTTCTTGATCTCCTTTCTCCTAATATATATTCCTACGCAAAAGAAAAATCAATGGAAAAACTATCATAGACATATGAAAGACTTAGCTTCTATGGTTATGTTTGTCTGAAGATGGTTTAACAGTTTAGGGGTATAAGGAATCAAATAAATGGTGAAAAAGATGTGGATAAATAAAGCTAGAGTAAATTGGGTAATGAAGTAAAAAATAGTCAGTTTGAGAAATTATTTGTTCAGATTATTATGCGATTTTAGTTAATAGGGGTTAATTTGCAAGTTCAACGCAATACTAGGATCTGAAGGAAATAATGTTCTTTGAGTAATATCAGTTTTCCATTTCAATTATTATTAACTTATTTTATTAAGGATCCTATTCTCCTATTGAGTTTTACAGTCTTCATAGCTGGGTATAACTGATTTTTTTCCCCTAATTTACTTATTGGAATGAGATTAGAATGCCATATGTTCCTCATTTTGGTTCACTGTTGTAAATAGCGTGCCTAGACACTAGCCAGCGGCCCACTGCCTCACCTGGCATCTAGGTGGTGGGTTTGGACGCTCACATAACGCCTAGATTGATTAAGTGCGCTGTGCAGGATTAGGCTCAAATAACCAAAATACCCAAAAGAAGTGGTATTATAAAAAAATATCACAAAAAAAAAGGGGGCTAAATGACAAAAAAATATAAAACTGGAAAAAAGGAGACCAAATTAAGGAGATGCTGAAACTATGCATAGCAAATATACTACCATTATCCAGGTAGTGCTGGCATCTTTCAGGATTGAGTTCCAAAATGCTAACAGCAAAAGACAAACCATACAAGCTTAGCCAGCAAGAGGAATCCAACAAGGCGTTAAAAAACATGATTGAATTAAAAAGGAGTGACAAAACAATTGCGAGAGTTAAATGATCAAACAAAGACTTCTGGGATGAGTTTTTGTATGATAACAAACCTGCCCTGCTGAAAGTAATATCCAACATATGGGTAGTCAACATCTTGCAACCGCCCCTAGGTTATGCTTCCCATTGTTTGGAAGAGAAGTGGCTGGTGTTGGGTGTAGACATTCCCAACCCCCAATTTTAAAGGATTGAAAATTATTGATAAGGTAACAGACATACATCAACAGCAAATAAGTAAAGGCTGATTCTATACCTTCAACCCACGAGCCATGTTACGAGCAATATTCAGAAGATCACAATTTCCATAAAGATCACCTGTTCGTTTATCAACACCGGCTTGCTTCAAGAGAAATTGCATAAGCTGCTTCCATATAATTGCAACAAAACTAATTAGTTAGTTTCTCAGCTAACCTCAAAGGCTCAGATTAAAATCAAAGAGCATATAACAAAACTACTTAATGGTTCAAGCATTCAATGTAACCCAAGTCTATAGCCAGTAGCCCATTCTAGTAAAATATAGGCAGCTTTCAAATCCAAAAACTTTTTAAATGTTACGAATCATAAAATGTTTCTAATCAAAATAACTAGTACAAAGAATGATCTGTAGTCTGTACCAACACAGATTATCATTTTTGAAAAAAGCAATCAATTTTCATTGTGTCACTCATAAAATATAATCAGCAAAGCAAAGCACATGCCTATTAAAAGATAATAAAGGAACATGAAAAGCAAATGAGTATCAGATGCTAGATGGTTATTTTACCCCAGGCTTGTACTTGGCAGACCGAGAAGCAAGTTTGTTGAATAGCTGCATCAACTGCACAGGGATCTCCTTTTCATAACGCAAAGCATACAACATTACAAGGCGTAGACGGTCAATATAAGATATGCTTTCGTTGTTTAAAAGATTTGTCACTGCCTGCAGAGAAGCATGTAAAGAAGAGAAGCTGTAAATTGAAACCAGACATTTCATGACTAACATGTAAAGAAGAGTGCATGAGTTGTAAATTTCAAAAGATGTTCTATGACTAATTACAAATTGCTGCTGAGATTTTTTGCCACTATACTACCTCAAAGAAGATAGTGAAGTGCCCTTATTCACAACAGTACTCTACATGAAAGCCGCATCCATATCTCAAACAAGTAAACCTATAAAGACAAGGAAGACATTGCACCAAATGATAAATACTAAGGACTAGTTTTTCCTTTCAAGTTGAAAAGGGAATTTAGATTTAATACATTATTTTGCAAACGGTAAACAAATCAGGCAAAATGGATCCTTTCCACAATAACAATTATCAAAATTTGTTAGATTTAAACCATACCATGAATGCTAAACTGCAAGCCCCATCAATAGGGGTTGGGGGAGTGTGGGGAGGAGTGGTGTGGAATCTAATACTAATAAACAGATTTTATACCAATTTCCATCATTTTAGCTGGCAGTCTAAGACATGCAAGCAACCAAAAAAAACTGTAAGTCATCAATTGTAAAAGTATCAAAATGCATAGTTTTATCATTTACATCTCCATATAGCCAGGAAACTAATTAGTTTCTCAAGAAACTAATTAAGAAACTAAAACATATTTGTGGACTCATAACTCCATGAAGACAACAACATATGTAAGACTACAAGAAGGAAAATTGACTGTATGCCACCTCAAAAGCTGCTGCTTGCCCACCATTGCAGGCCAACTCCTGCTCTGTTTCTGAAACCAACATAAGCTTTCTCTCTTCAACTATCTTGCTCATTTCAGTGACCAATGTAACATGTTTTGAAACATTCCCGTGCATTTTTCTGTACTCAGGATAGTTATCTACAAATTTGGCCATCTCTTCTGCAAAAATTCGAAACTGTAAACAAATTAACAACCACAAGCAGCCATTAATGATTAATATCAGAGTAAATTATTAAATGAGTCCAAATACTCAATTTTTCCTTTTACCAACCTATCGTTTGAATATTTGGATTGCTCTTTGCAACTTGCTGGAAGTCATCCACCATTCGTTTGATATTCATTCCAATATCTCCAAAATTCTCATGCATGTTAGCTTTGAAGAAGGCATCTTGGCTGTTTAAAGATAATTACTATAGTTGTTATTAAGGTAATTAACTTTAAGTTTAAAATTAAAAAAAAAATTAAAATATGTATAATTATTTTATTTATATTTAAAATAAAATACTCAATTGAATCATCAATTCCCCTGCGTAGCGGGGCAAGAGTTGCACTTGCATCAACGATCATATTCTGCAAGGAATTCATAAAATTAGAGCATCTGAACTGTAAACAAACAGAAAGGCACCTGTTGGGAAAAAAATTAAATTGGATTTCCTCTAGAATCTGATTTATAAACAGAAATTTGTAGAGAAATATATGGCAAGGAAAAGATATGCTCTACTGTAAATGCGCAACCGGAGTCAAGCATAGATGATACCAATCAATTTCATCTCAGTAAAAGAATTCAAACACTGAAGGAACTTTCTAATTCTTATTTGCAACAAAACAGATACTCAGGCAGGTACAGTAAAGAAAAATTAGCTTATTTCACTACCTGCTCTTCCTCCTCTATTGCTCCACTCAACTCTTCCCCACATAGCCTCAGCTTTAATTCATCTTCAATAACATAAGGTTCACTAATTTAAAGAGGAAACATGAAAAGCATTCATAAAGCAGTCAATACAAACTTACACTAACAAACAAAAAATGCAACAGATGAAATGGAGGATATGATTATTCTGCAGTCTATTAGAGTAGACCACATTATCATAGAGGTAGAGGGAAAAAGGAAAAAGAATGACAAATAACTACGCCATCCACCTTTTGATTATTCTGCGGTCTATTAGAGTTACACATGATTTCTTATTCGTTCTTATTCGTTCTTCTTTCATTGTTTACAAAGGAAGTACAAAACTTTGTAACAGCAAACTCTACAAGTCAGAAGCTAACTTAAAGACATTTATCTTGAGATAAATTTAAGCCTTTTACTCTAATTTAAATTCACAATGTGTTACATACAAGCACGAAGAGAGGCAGGCAAAGAGGTTGGGTATGTGGGGCATATAAAGAGGATAGAACTTTTATATACGTACAGTCATTACTCCAATTGCTGCACTAATACTAGCTTTTCCAAATATTGATGTAGCTGCATCTGTAACTAAAGCAGTTGCTCCAATATTGACCACCCTAGTGCCAAAAACAGAATCTAAAAAAAAAATCACATGGCAAAGTTAAACACAGACACACAGAACTGGATCAGTTAAGTGATGATGGGAGAGACTAGTATGTAGTGCCAATAAGAATGGTGGTCAAAACCTGGCTTACATCATTGCAAAGCATTTGAAATACACCATCTTCAGACTCTTTTTCAGCCAGCTCACGAACCTAAAACAAATTAGCATCAAATCACCAATGAGATCAAAATTTCTTGCATGGTGACATTAAAATTTTAAAAAAAAAAAAATCTTGTTCTTCCATAAGTTAATATGAACCACATGCATATATTAGAAACCAGAATGATCCTCCAGACCAAAAAAGCCAACAGTAATACTGCTGCATGAACTTCACAGTCAAGATTTGAAATAGCATATCAGATTAATCTTTGCTAAACTTAACCCAATATTTAAGTCAGCAAATGCCATTGCACAACAAAAAAAAACTTCATATATTTATCTAAACCATAAAAGTTACTGAAACATTAGCAATCAATAACTGTGAATGTTCTTCAACTTCATATATTTATCTTTTCCAATTTCCATACTAAATTCAGATCTTAATTGCTATTCACTAATTATAAGAACCATCAATCTTCAAACCAAGAAAGCAAACCTTCCATAGCCACAATGTGGTTATAGAAGTCTCTGCCATTGAGAAGAATGCAGATAGACCTCAAAGTGCAATCGGAATCACACCATGCTCTTTGAAAATCTTAAGAACCGTGGAAGCCTTAGGCCACACATTCCTCAACAACAATGCCCACTACTCAATCACTCTGTACCCTACATTCAGCACTCCCTCCACCGCAAGCACTCTCTTGCACACAAAAACCAAAAGACAATAAAGCATTGCCCCAATAAAGACTCCCCGCTTCAACAAAATCTTCAGAGATTCCAGATCCAGGCCCAAAACATCACCTTGGTCACCCCCAGATCATTGTTTTTTTTCACTTAATGATCTCAAATGAGCTCTACCACCAACAATGCGAGGTCTCCGCAATCTCAAAATGTAAATTCCACCAAAAATGGACTGATTGAAACAACTGTAGACCACACGACATGCGAAGTAATTACTTGTGGATGAAAATTTTATTGGGCATTTCAAATTTCGATTGTGTTGCACGAAAGAGGAACACTTGGATCCGGACGTGAAGGAGGATCGATTGATAAAAGCAAATTCAAGTGCCATAACCCCCACAACAGTTATAGCTGAAGGAAAATGTTAAAAACTTCCAAAAAAAAAAAAAAAAGGAAAAAGAAAGAATAAAGGCTGAGGTAAAAATAGAGGTTGAGGTAAAAATAAAGGCTGAGGGAAGATAATATGGGTATTGATGGATTTGCTGCTGATGGAATGGAGTAGGAATTCGTAATAGAAGAGGAACCCTAAAGACGTGAAATTGAGTTGGGTCTGTGATGCTAATAATGTCCGTTTATCTCGCCAAAGGGAAGCTACTTCCATTGGGTTCTGTATGATGTAGAAGGAAGATGTTGCTGAAAGTAGGTGAGAGAGAGGGAATGAAGCCGAAATCACAGGATTTGCCCTTCCCAATTTTACAATTAAAGTTATATCCTAAAACGATAACATCCAAAAATCCAGATTCCACGATTATGAAATGATTTCATCAAAATCCCATCTCAAAATCTAGACTTCCACTTCGGCCCGACAATGTAAAGCAATCATTTTTATGACTGTGCTAATGGGAATCTCAAGAACAAAACTGTAAAGAACGAAATTTGAGATACCCTCGCTACTAGATTGATACCAACCCGTTGAAGGAAGTACATTAACAGAGAAAGATTAACAGCTTGAACCTTCAAATACATTTTACAACAAAGAAAGACAAAATTACAAAGCATCATAAAGCCAAGAGAAGGCTGACAATTTTATACAAGCCAATGCTAAACATAACAAGAACTTCAAACCCAAAAAGCACCTGTTCAGGACACATTAAATCAGAAGGTCTAAGACATCAACTCTGCAACTAGCTTCTGCCCGGAACAAGTCTTCTGGCTTTCCTCATCCTCCTTCCACTTTGACTTGTTCGGCCATCAAACAAAGACACAAACCATTTTGGTTTTCCTGTTCGGAAAACATGATATCCCATCAACAGTCCAAAAACAACTCCACATCCATAGCCTAACACCACAGCTTTCCAGCCAAATCTCCACAACTCATCTTTTTCTTGGAAGGAGCTCAGCTGTGTCCCATTTCCATCACAAGATTTTGATAATGGAATTCCACAGAGTCCAAGGTTTCCTTCATAAGAATCATTTCCAAAGGTGTTGAACTGATTGCCTTGTGGTATGCGTCCAACAAGATGATTATTTGAAAAATTTAATACAGAAAGTTGTGTCAAAGATACCAACTCATTTGGAATTTCCCCTACCAGCTCGTTGGAAGAGAGATCCAACCACTCGAGGTTTGTCAAATTCCCTAGTGACGGTGAGATAGGACCAATAAAGTTGTTATGAGAAAGATTAAGCCCTTTAAGAGAACTAAGCTTTCCGATAACATCTGGAATTTCTCCTCCAAACTTGTTATTTGAGAGATCAATGCTAGTGAATATGGTCAAGATTCTCTGCAGCTCATACTCAAATCCTTTCATTATCACTACCAGTGAATATTGATAAGAACCGTTTCTCATCGTCATGTATTCAGGGGGACCATCATCTATATGAGGCTCCATCATCACATTAAAATTTTCAATGTAATGAACAGGCAAAGCACCAACAAAACAATTGCTGGAGAGGTCCAGAACTCGCAACTTGGGAAAAGATGGACCTTCTTTGGTGCTATGCACGAAACCATGAAACTTGTTGGACCTTAAGACAAGCACTTGAAGCTCTGGTAGAGATTCCAACCAATGAGGGAATGTATCACTTATGTTGTTGTTGCCAACATCTAGAACCTCTAACATGCTACAATTCACCAAAGATCTTGGTAATAGCCCGTCCATTTGATTTCCATGCAAGTTGAGATTTTGTAAGCCACAGCCCTCTGAAAACCCAAATGGTATATTTCCATCAAAGTTATTGCCCTGCAAATTCAACACTGAGAGAGACTTGGGAAGACAATTTGGAATCTTCCCGCTTAAATTGTTATGAGAAAGGTCAAAAATCATGAGATCCTTTTCACATATCCATTCAGGAATATTGCCATTAATGCTATTTTTGGATAGCAATAGGCTTCTTAGACCATTTGAATGTCTTAAGAAATTGGGGAATTCACTCAAGCTACAAGAAGATAAGTCCAAATAGGTTAGTTCAGGTAATGTGAAGTCGGCATCAACATTGTTTCTCAAAGACAGATTATTGTATGAAAGAATGATGGTTTTCAGATTCTGAAGTCTTGAGAACATGTCAGATACCACTACTAAATCACTGAGATGATTTGCTGATAAATCAAGATAACTAAGATTTACAAAATTAGCAACTGAGCTAGGAATCGGGCCCTGAAGTTTATTGTTTGACAAATTCAGCTCTACGAGTGATTTTTGCTCGAATTGATTTATTTGACCTTGAAGTTGGTTGTGATTGAGTAGCAAGATCTCTAACAAAGGTAGGGTGAAAATCCAAGGTGGCATCGTGCCATTAAGTAAGTTATAAGATAAGTTTAGAAAAAATAGTTTCAAAAACCTACTTGCATGAAAAGGAATGGGACCAGAAAACTGATTATGTGAAAGGTCAAACAAGCCAAGTTGTGTAAGGTTTGCAAGTGATGATGGGATTTGTCCGCTAAGATTGTTAGAAGAGAGGCTTAGATAAGTAAGTTGGGATAAGTTCCCTATGAAAGCTGGAATGGGACCAGAAATCTGATTATTTGAAAGGTGGAGAACGCAAAGTTGTGTGAGATTTGCAAGTGATGATGGGATTTGTCCACTAAGATTGTTAGAAAAGAGAATAAGTTTGGATAAGTTTCCCATGAAAGCTGGAATGGGACCAGATAGCTGATTAATTGAAAGGTCGAGTAAGTCAAGTTGTGTGAGGTTTGCAAGTGATGATGGGATTTGTCCACTAAGATTGTTAGAAAAGAGGTCTAGGGAAGTAAGTTGGGATAAGCTCCCTATGAAAGCTGGAATGGAACCAGAAAACTGATTCTCTGCAAGGTTAAGAAAGATAAGTTGTGTGAGGTTTGCAAGCGATGATGGGATTTGTTCGCCAAGATTGTTAGAAGGGAGGCTTAGATAAGTAAGTTGGGAGTTCCCTATGAAAGGTGGAATGGGACCAGAAAGTTGATTATTTGAAAGGACAAGTGAGCGAAGTTGTGTGAGGTTTGCAAGTGATGATGGGATTTGTCCGCTAAGATTGCTAGAATAGAGGCCTAGGTAAGTAAGTTGGGATAAGCTCCCTATTGAAGCTGGAATGGAACCTTCAAAGTTGCACTTGAGACCTAGAAATTGTAATGACTTTAGATCTCCTATGGACTCTTGCAATCTCCTTCCGCAATACATGACATCTAAATCCAAATGTTGGAGAGGACTGCTCCAATTGGAACTTGGAAGATCAATAGCAAGGTTTCCCTCTCCACCTAAAATAAATCTCTTGAGATTTGGAAAGTGGAAAATAGTGTTTGGAAAATTTCCTCTTAACTCATTCTTGGAAAGACGAAGTGTAGTTAAAGAAGAAGAGAGATTCATGAAGGAAAGAGGATTAACAGATGTCATGTTCACTCCATTAAGCACAAGTTCTCTCACCTCACTCAAGTTGTGAACAAGATTTCTGAAGGTGGTTGTTTCAAAGATCAGTCCAGGAGAATCATAATAATTAGAGAGATTGAGAGAAACTAACTTGGGGAGGTGAGCAATTTCTGCTGGAACTTGGCCCGAAAACCAAGAAGAAGAGATATCAAGATGCTTTAGTCTAGTAAATTGACTGATTTCTGGTGGAATCTTGGAAAGCCTAAAATCATTCAAGGCAAGATTGAGGCTTTGCAGGTTTTTGAGGAAGAAAAGAGTGCTGTTGGAAGGAAAGATACCAGAAAGGAGACTGCAGCTGAGATCAAGGGCGATTACATGACCTGTGACATTATCACAGCGAACCCCATCCCAGGAACAACAGTCTATACCTTCCTTCCAAGACTTGGTCTTAGAATAAGGTTCGGTATGGTCATAATTACATATTTCAGGATCAGAAGCAATGCTATTGATGGAAAAGGAAGTCTTGAATTGCAGCAAAGCAAGAGCCTCCTGATGAGAGCAGAGCTGTGTTGTTGAAAAGGAAGAAGCATGTAAAAAGGATGAGAAGGTAGTTTTAAGACAGAGGAAGAAGAAAAGGAGGCAGAGTGGTGTAGAGAGCACTGTGAAGAACCCCATATCTCTTTGTTTGGCGTAATGGAGTACTCTAGAAGTGGATATATAGAGTGGTGTTCCAAATTGAGATATACTAATAATTGAATATATTCCATCATCAAAACAAAACTAAATGAATATAGAATGTAACATTGACCCATGGTGGATGTCATTTTCAAAGCTACTTTCCGACTTCTCTCTTATTTCCTACTTTGAAATTAGATGGAGTAATTAATTATTACAATCACATTATTAACATGACTTTAACTAAAAATTTGAATATCAATAAGTAGTTTTTGCTTTTGTTATGGCATGATATAAGAAGGTGATGTAAAAAGGGTGTTTTTTAATTTAAAAATTAGAATTAATAATTTAAAAATATTATTTATTTATATTTTTTAATATATATGTATAACATATGTTAGTGGATAAATATTAATATTAAAAGATTATTTGATGCAATTTACAATTACTTTAGATGTGGTGAGCAGAGCACATTATGTATCTATCTACTACCGTTCTTATTCTAGACTTTATGTACTTGATAATTTCTCTTTTTAAAATAAATTTAATCGATTAATAAAATATGCCAAGATATATTCTATACATCAAAGATGAAGAATGTTATAAATAAAAGTTTTTTTTGTTCAAATTTAGATCTATACCATTATTATTATTTTAATTTGAATTCAATTATGGGTGACAAATAGAAAACTAACTACTTTTCCACTGACGTCTTTGATCAATCAAATGAAAAAAATATTCATTTTCAAAGTCTCTAATTTTGCTTATACACCAAAGTTTGTGACTAGTAAAAGATTGAGAGAAGACCCAAATCTTTGACTCTTTACAACTGCAACTCATGAGAAAATAATCTTTCTTTGATTTTTTTGCACACATTATTTTGATTTGATCTAACTGATCGTACAAAAGTTTTCACATAAAATTGATAAAAGACCTGATTTAGTCCTCCTTTCCGTATTTTCAAAACCATTTTTCTATCATGTGCCGTAAAGGAAAATGTGAAGCTCAATTTTTTATAATAAATTTATATAAAAAAAATAAAAATGAATATTATACACCAAAGTTTGTGACTAGTAAAAGATTGAGAGAAGACCCAAATCTTTGACTCTTTACAACTGCAACTCATGAGAAAATAATCTTTTTTTGATTTTTTTGCACACGCTATTTTGATTTGATCTAACTGATCGTACAAAAGTTTTCACATAAAATTTATAAAAGACCTGATTTAGCCCTCTTTTCCGTATTTTCAAAACCATTTTTCTATCATGTG